CAATGAAACTGCGCGCTCAGTCCGCACTGTTGATCTGCTCCTAAGATGCAAAAGATCAGGCATAACAGCCTCAGATGGGTCATTATTTCCTCGAGACATCTGGCAAGGTATTTTGGGCAAGTGCTCATCTTCATTGCCATTTATCTCTTATTGTCTCCAAATTTTTCATGTCACCATACAAAGGCCATCTGCCCCTGTGCTGATGGAAACCAAACCCAGGCCACTCTGGGAGAGTGGGATCCAGGGGCCAAAGGGCCGTGCAGGGGTCCTGCCCCTTTTCCCTCGATAAAAAGGCTGTTATTAATTAATTCTGCGGGGAGGTGGGGACGGGCACCCAAAGCCTCTCCAACCTCCTGGGAAAATATAATCATTTCAAAATATAAAGTTTGGAAGGGCACGTAAAACCTGTCTTTATCTTTTTGCAACTTCTTGTGAAAATATTGTTTCGAAATATAAAGTTTTTAGAAAACCATAAGCAAAGCTATAGTCTATGGAAAATGGGACTAGCCACGGGAGAGTTGCCCCAACACACCTCACTCCTCCCCCAGCAGGCTCCTCCCCTGGACAGCTGCTTGGGTCTAGCCCTGCCTGAGAGAACACGGGCCACTAATCGAGCGCAGGCGCAGAAATGGCTTTGGAGCTGAGATTTGTTAGGCCCCTGAGCACCATGAGCCTGGTTTGTTCATCCAACTCTATTCTACTCTGTGAATGTGCAAGAAAACCTTTCTAGAAGGAATTTGATTGTTGCCACCCTTAGTATGCAAAGCAGATGCTGCTGGCTGCTTTCCGGGTGCGCTCTGCCTCCCCCGGGAGTGACGCTCAGCTGGCACGGAGACACCGTGTGCCAGGGCCCACTCGCCCGGGCGGCAGCGTGGGCACGCTGGGCTCACACGCTCCAGTACCACCACCACCTCCGGGGCTGAAGCCACAGACGTCCACAGGACAGAAAGGGGGTGACACAGGCCAAGGAAGAAATATTTACAGTGAACAGATCTTCTACTTCATGATGAAGCCTTTACTTCTTTCCTCAGCTCACACACCAGCACACAAGGAAGTGTCTGGAGGAAACCTTTGTCTCTGCTCGTGAAGCCTCAGAACAGAGACTCTCATTAACGTCCTGATTTGATTGTTTCAGACGATCCAAAGTCCGATGGTCTGATTTATATGTCTTGACAGTTACCTGAGCCGGGGCTGCAGGGGAAATCTCCCTGCTCCCACCCAACCTGTCACTTCTCCTTCCCTATAAGGAGAACAACTTAAGAAATGCAGCCCACTGTCTTTTATTTTGGTTGGTGATTCCCAGGCATGTGCAGTGTAAGTAAAGCCTGGTAATTAACAAGGTAATTCTTCAAAGCGGTGGATCTGTCCCAAGGGTGAGCTCGTCCCCCAAGGGAACTCCGGCCATGTCTGGAGACGTTTTTGGTGGGGAGTGGGGGTGCCAAGAGGGTGCTACGAAACATCTTTCAGTGCACAGGACGGCCCCCACGACAAAGGATTATCTGAAACAAAATATCAATAGTGATGAGGTTGAGAAACCTTGCTTTTAGGTTCTCAGCCAATTTACTACAAATAACCTCAATTATTCATTCAGCAAACAATTACTGGGAACCTAGAGTAATCTTAAGATAGTACATACAGCCCTGGCAGTGGGGAGCCTGCCTTTGTAGCATCTTATAGAAGAATAACAGAGGTATACAAACAAATTGATGTAATATACAGCATGCTAGAGCCTGAGTGGAAATACAAATAAATACAGAGGAGGATATGAATTTGTGCGGATGAGAATGAGGGAGGGGGAGAAACTGATGTCACTTTTCCCAAGAAGACCACAAACTGCATGTTTACACTCAAAGACATCCCTCTCGCATACAAATTTGAAATAACTGCTAGGAAAGCTCACTAAACCCATACGTACTTTTTAAGCAATCTGTCTTTCTGCTTCTTTATATATACACCCTCAGGGAAAACCAACCTACTGCTTTCTTTGCAACTTTGTTCCTTATTAAGATTATTTTCCTAACAATGATATTTTTCCAGTGCCAGGGAAATGCTTTATTCCTTCTCTTGCCCTTGGTTGATTCTTTTTATTCATGTCTTTAAAATATTTATAAACATACAGTATTATTCTGTAGCTGCTAATTAACTAAGCAATACATACTTAGCTTATTTTGTTTTGTCTCAGATAGCAACTTAAATTTATTCACAATTTTGGGAATGCACCTGCTTAAATATATGCTCATTGGCCTCTGTCTTTTTCAATACTGAGTGCCAAGTCCCTTCCCACTGAAAGTCCTGGCTCACCAACCCCTTATGGCCCCCTCTTGTTGTTCTTGATTGTACCTAGGTACTGCTGAATTAGCTGAAGTTTCGCAGCTTCTTCCCCGGTTAGGAACTATTGTCTCCATACTCCTTGCTCCTATTTTCCAAGCTAAAAGGAGCCCTGATATAGCACAAAGATGCTTAGGGAAAAGTCCAATGAGCATAACAAGAAAAGCCTTTTCCTCTTGGGAAAAATTAGTGACGAGACCAAAGGGGTTCTGATCAAACAAAATTGCACCCCTGTGAGATTTGCAAGGCTGAAATTGCCTAGTGGTCATTTCCATGGCATGTACCATAGACAACAACAAATCTCCCAGGTCAGCTGTGTGGAGGGTAAAACTGTCTGGAGCACTACCATTGGCAAGTGTAAGCTCATAGCTAAGCTGAAATGGAAATCAGTTATGAAATAGGACTACCAGGTGCCATATGCCTGCACACAAGATATTCTGGGCAATCTTACAAATCAAATAATTAACATATGTATTTAAGGTTCTACTCTGTGAGTATCACTGCGCAATACCAGGCAGCAAATTGTTTGTTTTTAATTATGACTTTGACTCTTGACTCTGATTCTTTCTACTGTGGGGATCTGGATAAGTTAATACCAACCTCTCTGAATCTATATTTTTACATAAGGGAAATAAGGAAAATCATACTTATCTCCCCGAATTGTTGTTTATTCTAGCACCCTGAGTCCTATCAGGAAAACAGAGACCATATCAGTTATTTTAACAGGGAGAATTTAATGTAGGGAATTCATTGGAGAACCAAGCGCAAAGAAAGAACAGCAAAGGAGTAGCTGCCACCTTGAGGGCTGGGAAAGCAAAGTGCAGAGGTTGGGGTGATTAGAATCTAGATGCTTGAAAGAAGGACGCTGTGGAGGTGAGGAATGTGTAGCAGCAGTTACCCAGGTGCTGTTATTGCAGCAGCTCAGGACCCACAGAGCTGAGCCTCAGCTGAATCTGGGAAAGTGCAGAAAGGAGTTGGATGCTAGAACTAACTGCCACTGCCAGGGTGATGGGCCATCATCAGTGACACTCCCAGCAAGTATGCAAGAAGGAGCAAAGTTCCTCCTCTGCTCCAGACTCCATCTCCCTCTGGTACCTTGACCGACAGATGGCAAGAGAGAAACGTAATTGCAGAGTGCCCCAGCTTCCAAAGCAGAGAACGGAAGACAGATTTGGAGCTGAGCAACAGCTTAATACTCGGCATATTCACTCATGCATTGTGCACTTTTACGGAGTGCTTTCCGCGTGGCAGATTGTGAGGCTCTGTGCTAAGGCTGCAAAGTCTGGAGAACTCAGTGGACACTCATAAAGTACTCGTCTCAGTGGCTAGTACAGGGTAGACCCCCCATTAAATGTAGTTGGCTTGTCTCAGGCCCAGTGGGAAACACAAAGGGAAAGGAAATGGAAAATAAAACAAACAAACAAAACAAAATAAGAAACCAGCCCTGGCCTTAAGGAATCTCACATTTAGATTAAGTGTCGAGGGATAAACTACAGAACAAAGTACAAAGTAATGCATGTGTGTACACGTTAAAAAGAATCTCAGGGATACTAGATTTGGGTTTGTTGTTGTCGTTTTTGTTGAGATAGAATCTCTCTCTGTCACCCCAGCTAATGTGCAGTGGTGTCATCGTAGCTCACAGCAACCTCAAACTCTTGGGCTTAAGCGATCCTCCTGCCTCAGCCTCCCAAGCAGCTGGGACTACAGGCATGCACCACCTCACTCAGCTAATGTTTTCTATTTTTAGTAGAGATGGGGTCTCTCTCTTGCTTAGGCTGGTCTCAAACTCCTGACCTCTGGTGATCCTTTCATTAGGCATACAGTTTTAAGAATTCAAAGAAGCAAAAGAATATTTGGGGGGCTATCAGGAAGGCATTCACAAACCAGAGGGGAGAGAGCAAGTCCTGAGTGTTTAGACAATGGCCAAAGGACTAAGACCGTTTCAAATGGAAGAAAGCCCATGATCAAATAAAACCTGGTGGGAATTTGCTGGGCCTGCATGGAGGACAGATTTGTGATGGGGACTATGGAAGGTGGGGCCAGAAGAACATGCCTGGACTTTAGTCTGAGGCATAGATGAGCCCTTGGAGCCTTTTGAATGAGCAGAAATTATGTGAAAAAAAATATTGTCGTAGCAGCCCCTATCATATGTAACACAATGCCTTGCATATAGTGTAATAGTTGGAAAAAATATTACATTGAATAGGATGAGATGGGATAGGATGAAATGGAATTACAAAGGCAGGTCTTAATTTGTAAATCTATGTATATCTCCCTCTATTTTCATTATAATAATAAATGTTTCATGAAATGTGTTGGGCAACCAATGAGAAATTTTAAGTCCAAAAGTTCAAAAACTAAAAGAATTCAAGCAATGATAAAAACTTTAAATGATAAAAACATTAACAAGAAAGATATCACCCAAGCAGCAAGACACAGTGCTCGTTTCGTGGGTGGGGGCCGTGGTGTCAGAGGGAACCTGACATTGACCTTGAAGAGACTGGGGGAAGCTGCTGAAAACGTCATGGACTTATTTTCAAAAAAGCACTGGGCAATGTTTTTGGATGAAGTCAGTGATTCGTGTAAAGCAATTAGTATGGTACAAATTTTGAATGTGAGTCTGTAGAATATACAACGTACTCACAATTAATCTCTTGTTTTCTTCTTGGCAGATCCATTACAGGATTTTGGCCTTTCTATGGACCAGTGTTCCAAACAATTAAAATCAAATCTCAACATTAGATTTGGAATTATTCTGAGTAAGTAAAAACGATTAGCATGAAATAAAACATTGCATAGCCTCTTCCGACTTAACACAACCAGTGACTCATATTAACTATAGTCACTGGCTAAACCACTGTTCCTCCTCTACGCTCTGGAATTAACTCTATTTCCATTTTAATTTTCAAATCTCCCTCTGGATAATAGCCAGGTAGGGTAGAACTCTCACTTAATGCTGTACTTTTGTACTGAAAAGACTCTAGGCACTCATTTGGACAATATAAGCACCTGGAATTAGTATACCCAGCAAAAAAAAAAGGAAAATATTTTGAGACTAAATATTGATGTCTACTCAGGAGAGAGCTTTTGCTTAGTTATCTCAGCAACAAACAAATCTACTGCCAGCAGCATGGTTTGTCATCTGTGTTATATCATATCCCAAAATAATGTAAGTTCCTAAACCTTTGCACAGGCAAAGAGGAAACATAATATCATCTTCCCGCCCCCAATGAATGAGCTAGAGCACTTTCTGACTATTTAATTTTTATATGATTGTGCCATTTCAGTTAGCCAATATATTTGCTACAGCTACCAGAGTATCTCCTTTTCTAAAACAGTTTTACCAAAACCAGAGCTGAGAGATTTAATAGACTCTACATGTGGGATCATTTCAGAGAAATGGAGGAAACATTCCCAGAGATCAAGAACTCCGGTGCCTCTTTGTATTTCTAGAATCTTGCACAATATCTGGACTTTATCTGCAGCTCAAGAAATGCTTTGGGGAGAGAAAGAGAGAAAAGAGGAATAGAAGGAGGAGTGGGTGGAACATAAAGGGGAGGAAGGGAGAGAAAGGCACAGAGAATTGAAAGTCACCCCCACAGAGCCCCTGAAGCGTCCTGCGTAACCATGGTGCGCTGTCTGCCTGGCAACAACAGCAGGAGTCTGTAGACTCGACCACACACCAACCCTGTCATGGGGGATAAATAATACCACGGAGCTGAGAAGCTCGAGAAGTCAGACCTGCAGAAATGCATTAAGGGGCCAAGGCACTGGGGTAGGGGCGCACAGCAGATTAACTGCCCTGCCCCCAACAGGTAGAGCTTGAGAAAGGACCACCTTCCATGCCCGGGATCATCATTACGATCCCCTGTAGCGTTGCCTGGGTGCTGTCTTACCAAGAAGAGAAGAAAGCCGTTCTCCAGACAGAGCAGACTAAAAGAAACGAAAGGTCTTTAGCTCACACTGTTAAAACCTCGGATTCCACGCTACGCAGCGGAGCACACAGTGACGGCAACGCTGTGCTTCTCTTTCCTTCAGGAGAGGACATCAAAGAGCTGTTTCTCGACATAGCTCTCACCGCTAAAGGATCGTCGATTTTGAATTACTCCTACCCCATCTGTGAGGAGGATCAGCCCAAGTTTTCCTTCTGTGGAAGAAGGAAAGGAGGTAAGCTGGCCGGCTCGCTGCTCGCAGAGGCCCCGGGGTGGCCGAGAGCTGGCGCTAGCCCCGGCCTTTGGACAAGCTTACCCTCACCGACCAGCACCTGCCCAATAAAAATAACGGTCAGGCCTGTCCTGTACGGGCCTACCTTACAGGGATGTTGTGAAAATCAAAATAAAATGCTGTGTATGAGACGTTTTACAAACAGAAAATGGATAATGGGAGTAGTGGTGCCTTATCAGAAGCAGCCAGCAGCAGAAAGCACCAAGAGCTTCCAAAAATCCATTGAAGTTCAAGGTGTTTCCAGCTTTCCCCTCAACAGCCTCTTTCGTGGCAGGGTCTCTTAAATATAGCAATGCACTTTGAAAAAGAAAATAAAACGAAACCCACTAAATGTCACGGCCTTTCCCATTTGGGTCACTGACGGATACAGGCATCAGGTAGCTAGACTCAAAGCAGAGAAGCAGAAAAGCCATAGCATTAGCTCCCTTTTCACTAACTCCCTACGGCTGGCTGCCGCACGTCCCCCAAGAGGGCAGGAGCCCCCCACCTCCCTCTCCACCTTGTCCTCACCCACCGGCTTACTCAAGGCCCTGAGATGCCCCTGTGTGTAGTTAAAGCCTGTTAATTGAAGCCCGTTCTGCGACTGTCCTTGCCCAGGAGTCCCCTCCTGGCTGCTCCCTCCTTCCTGTGTCCATTGGCGGGGGACAGTGTACCCCCAACCTCACACCCCAGCCCCACAGCCCAGGGACATCTGTATCTATTTCCCCACTCAAGGAAGCTAGAATTCTAAATAGTGAAGTTCTTTGTGAAATGACCCAATTATCCTTTTTAAATGAAAGATCTAGAAGAAATTGATATCCTCTTCCCACACCAAGGGAGGCAGACAAAAGAAAACAGGGAATTTAAAGGAGGGTAAACCAGGGGGAAACCCCTAACTTTGCTGTAATCTGTAGATGACAGGCTGAACTCCGCCCTCCCCTCCCCTCTCCTCCCCTCTCCTCCCCTCCCCTCCCCTCTGCTCCCCAAGGGCGCGGCACATCACTGTACTAGAGCACTTGCCATGGCGGACTTTCACGGTTCATTCCCACCCGCCGTCCTCCCCCAGCTGTGAGCTTCTTGAGCGTGGCATTCGCACCACCTTTCGTCTTCTCATTTCCAGTATTTTGAATGTGTCTGGTACACGGAGAGCACAAAACACACACACACACACATACACACACATACACACACACACACAGCAAAACAGCAAATGATATGGAGCATTTGTACCAGGCTCTGTTCCAAGTCATTCCCTTCCCACCCCAACCCTTCGAATGGGCACTGTTAATACTCCAACTTTATAAATGCAGAAACTGGGGACAGAGTTTTACAAACTTGCACAAAGTCACAGAGTCGGTGTGGGGGACATGGCTTGCGAGGGATCCGGGTCGGCTGGCTCCAATCTTAGCTTCTAATGAATGAATAAAGAAAGGAACTAGAAATGTATGAATTTGTCTTTTGGCCAGGAGTTTATTTTAAATTATCATTTAAGAACTCATTGTTTCAAATAGGGACTTTTTTTCCCTCCTGGCTAACCTGCCATAGAAAGATTAGACAGTGTTCCTCTCCCAACTTACTGGGAAGCTTTCTGGTTAACCGGGTGCATTCATGCATGTCCCCAGCATGGTGAGCTCGTCCTTAGTCAGTCCCCACTAATCTCCTACCTGCCCTCGGCTGGGCCAACCCCAAACCCCTCATCCAGTCAGCCCTTACTCCCTTCCTTCCTTCCTTCCTTCCTTCCTTCCTTCCTTCCTTCCTTCCTTCCTTCCTTCCTTCCTTCCTTCCTCCCCTCCCTCCTCCCATGTGGACTAAGTCCCCTCTGTGCCAATGCTTTGGGGAGCCTGAAGATGAACCAGTAATGGTTTTGCCTCAGGGACATTGTGGTTGACCGGCAGAAATGAGAGACCCACAGCACAATTATCCCAAGTGTTCATGCACATGCATTAAAGATCACAAGCACCAAGTCACCTCAACAGAGTCATCTCCAACAGGCTTAACTATTGGAACAAGGACCACCTGGGAAATTGAATAAAGAATTACTTTCCTGTTTGCCTTAAAGTTATTTGGAGCCTGTTACAGTTTAAGCATTCTTTCATATACATATATGTGTATGATTTAGACGTAGCTTAGGAACACTGGTGGTCTGTATGCATTCTGATATAGAACGTTTTGGAGGAACTCGAAGCATCTTGACCTGATAATGAAATAATAACCACCCAAGAAAGGCTAACAGTTTCAGACGTTGTCACCTGTAGCCAGCATCTACAGTTCTATCTCAAGCCTTTTTTCTTACTTTCTAATTTTTCCCAAAATAATGTTCTTGAGCCCAATGTGGAAACAGGTACCTTGGAGGTACTGCCAGCGTGGCAAGAAAGAGCAGATCCTGGGCCAAGTCTTCCGTGACATGGCTTCCCAGCTGGTTCCAGGTCTCATCCTCGCTGCTGCCAGCGTGAATGCAGATCTCAGAATGCCACGCCTCAGACGCCCCTCCCAAGAGACTTCAAGGCTCCCTCTTCTGTAGAAAAAGTCCAAGGTCTTTAACGACCAAAGTTCATCATAAATTTGCCAGCCTGCTTCCGCTCGGCCTCTTGCTCCAGTCCCCCTATACACAGCTTTGGCAACCGCCTCAACAAAATGGTTTTGCCTGCTTTCGACCGCAGCCTGCATTCGAACACACGCGAAGTTGTTCAGACTGTCCCTTAGCCTCTGTGGCCCACTCCGCATCTGTCTTTCCTTCACACTCTAACCAAGCATTCCTTGCGCTCGGACGCCTTCCCTCCAACCACAAGCCAAATGCAGCGCCTCCTGTGGTGCTCCGGGGCATCGCGCTCCCCCGCTTCCTTGTTAGCCCTTGTCTCAGCGGAGGTGAATTCTATAGTGTAAGGTGTGTCTCCCCCCCATTAAATTTCAGCTCCTCAAAGGCAGAAATGTTTCTTGCTCAATCCACTCTGCAGACTTGGCAAAGAGAGCTGGTACAGCGTAAAGACTAAAATTCCTGGTTTTACTGAATATGATGTGGATCGATATAATGGATTTGAATAGCAAGTACACCAGTCCAGCTCAAAGGTGACTAATGAATGCAATCATGGCACAAATGACCACAAGAGTGCATGAATCACAGCAGACAGTAAAATTTTTGGTTCAGTCGTTAAGGAAACCTTTCTATTTTCTGCCTCTGCAGTAGAGTTTTTAATAGAATTATATACAAAACAGAACCC